AGACCACAAAGTAACATGGTAATAGCAGTAAACTTTAAGTAGCAGAAGGAACTAAGTAACCATGTAGAGCAGCTTAATATATGGATTCGTTATATTAGGAGGACATATCTTCTCCATCGAAAGCTAAGTACACAAAATTCTGCAACCAGTAAATCATAATCTTGCATTAATTAAATTCTAGAATCTAGATGCTGACCTACCAGTCAAGCCAATCTTTCAATGAAAACAGCAAGTAACTACCACTCATGTCAAACGTATCCCAAAGTTGCGTTTGCACGGAATAAATGTTAATAAACAGAAGGACATGGGCCTAATTCTAACAACTAGCAGACATCTAATATCAAGAGAATAATCATAACAATCAGAACGTAGTAAAATATGTAGATGATATTGAGCCTCACCTCCAAATCAGAAAATTCAAACCACGGACAGCAATCTATGATCTCACAAATGAATACCACCGTATCACGAACAAGAAAGCCTGCATCTGATTCCAGCATATCAGACACCTTCATAAACTGAAGAACTGAGTTATTCCATGTTTTTGTGCAGATGGAAGATTCCTTCCACACAGTTTTTGCAGGATTCTTTTGGTTAACAACAGCCATTCTGTAGCGAACCCAAAAGTTCTTATCTGGATCACTCCCGGATGACTGATCACTTTCCAAGTATATACATATAGTGTCAAATGACTCATACACACCTGTGTAATCACAAAAATAAAAGTTTTGCATAGAGAAAAGAATAATAGTATGCATATATTAGAAATAAATTGTGCACAACCTTCCCCTACCTATTCGCAGCTCGCAACCGCCAGCTTGAAAGAATTTGCTAAAGATTTTTCGAGTTTCCATAATCTCCTTGAAGGACAAAAAATTCTCCACCTTCCAAGTAAAGGACCCTCTCTTCCAAATGGCATCCATTTGAGACCCTGAAGTAGCACCAGATAAATCAGAGTCTTGCTCACCAAATTCTTGCATTATTGAAGTTTCCTTCAATATAAGAACTTCTGCAGAGAACATGACAGTGTCCTGAACAAGAAACCCAGAGTCCTGATCAAAGAGGCTTGTTAAAGTCACAAATTCACGCCAACCCCAATCTTTTGCCGCCTTGGAGTATCGATTCTGTGACTCTTTTGTAACCGACTTTTCCTCCACTTTCTGATTTACTACTGACAGCCGATGGCTCACAAAGCAACTCCAATCGCTGGTAGTGTTTCGGGAATCAGTTACCTCAAGAAACACGGAAAGGTGACAAGGTGGTTGAGACTGCCCTGGTGTCGATCAACAAAAAAGGTACAGATACAAAGAGGTTATTTGATCAGCGTACTGCTTACACAAAGAAAACTCAACTCCTAATTATGACAGGTTCAAAAACTTGCAAACAAACAAATGGTTGGGATCATAGGAAAGAGATAACAAGAAATTTATTTAATATTCGCATTTATACTGGCTTCACAAGAGAATTTTTTAAGAAACCAAACAAGGCAAAGAAAATTCTTTAATCACTTCCTTCCCAACTCCTTTTACGCTCATAAGCCACAAAAAGCCAGACTAGTAGTTGAAGAGATGAAGCTGCTAACCATAGCCAAAATATACGTACTTAAAACGTCTCTAAATTAGTATAGTGAAAAAAAAAATCTTCTTAGGCTAACAATACACTCACCATATCTGATAGTTCACATTTTCTTGGAAGGAAAGACAGAGTTAAAAATAACTACTTTTTATTGTTTCAAAAATGAAATGTTGCACAAGGAAATTCATCAATTTTATTCTCACTGACTATTTTCCCCCTTCCTGCTATGGGCGAAGACAAAAGAGCAGGTATAAATTTATTTCTTTTTTTTAATATTTCTACCTTTCCTGTAACATCCTATGCACCAAGCACAGGCTTACCAAAAATAGGTTAAAGAATAAAGTGCTTAACTCATCTCGCTGGAATCTCTTTACTAAAATTAGTCTGTTACAGGTGTGAGACATCAAATTAATTTCACATAAATTTTACATATTCTCACCATAAAACTGTGTCCTCATTCGAGTAAATGACTGAGTTAAAACTACAGAGATTTTCCATATCCTCTACTCCAACGTGTCTACTTGAGTAAAAGGATTAAGATGAGCGTAATCCGAAACGGGATAAATTAAGAAATTAATGTACATTGTCCAGTTACTACAAGAGTGTATGACGGAAACAAACCAATCATCTCTACCAATCAATAGATAACATTTTTCCTTGGTGCATGAATAAATCAAATGAGACAGGATTCAATTACTGTCTGTTCCTTTTAGCTTTCATTTCTTATGACTTCCTATTCAAGCACACGACAACCTCAGCGGGATGCTGCAGCGAGTGAAACTTGTCCTATCTGTCATTGTCATTAGTAAAAGCAAAATAAACTCAACATGCATAAAGATAATCTTACCCCTCGGATAAACAATAAGGCGACAATCCCTATTACCAATCTGAAACCTCTTGCTCTTCACGCAAAGCCCGGTGATCTTCCTCTTCTTGAGCAAGTCCTTCAACCTCGTGAAATTCTCGATCCTCCAGGTAAACCTCCCAAAATGTCCGTCTGACTTCCTCGCCGCTCCCCTCCCCCCAAGCACCGTCCCAGCACTCTTGATCGACGAATTGTTTGATTCCTTGATCACATGGAATGATGTGGTGAACACCGCCGTATCATCCACCAAATACCCCGACTCTGACCCAACAAAATCGGACATTTTCATATAATCATTCCACCCAAGGCTGGTATTATCCCCGCCTTTATTATCCGCCGCAAACCTCCCATATGAATCCCTATGCACGTGATTCAACCCCGGTTTCTGGTTCAACACCGACATCCTAAACAAGCACCAGCAGCTCCTATCTGGTGTCTTCTCCGTATCCTTACTCTCCAAGCACATTGACAAGTGATCTACTCCCGCAACCGAGCTCTGATACACACTGATCCTCAAGTTACACTCCCCAGCAGGAAAAACGGGGCTCATAATCTTCTGGGTCTTAATCATCTCCCTAAACAAGCTAAAATTATGCACTTTCCATGTAAATTTCCCACTCAAAACATCAGGCACCGGCTGCAAGGCCTCGTTACCAAACGAAACCGATTCATTCAGGATCAAAATATCAGCACTGATCAAAACGGACTCGCTGTTAACAAGAAACCCAGCTTTAGGATCAAGGATAGTGGAAGACGGTGTGAAATCACACCATCCGTGGGATTTTTTCTTAGAGGAAAACCTATGCCAAGAATCCCGAGAGATGGACTTGGATTCATCAAGATGATTAAGTATGGACAGGCGATAACTAGCGAAGCAGTCCCACTTCGATGAGGAAGAGCCTCGAGGATCGACGATCTGGAGGTAGATTGAGAAGTAACCAGGTAGGGCTTGGGAGTCGCCTTTAGGGTAAATGAGGAGGCGGCAATCGAAGAGGAGGCGGAGGCGAGGCGGAGGGCTCGTCGGCGGCGGAGGCGGAGGCGCCGGAGGGAGCGGCCGAGGGACAGTCGCTAGGGTTGGGGATGGAGACGACGACGATGACGAAGAGGAGGCGGATTCTTGGGAGTTTGAGATGACGGACGACTTCATTTTTAGGGGGGGGGGGGGGGGGCGATTTCCTTCCTTCTCGTCGATCGAGAACTCGTTGATGCCGGTGTCGTTCGCGTGCGAGGGAGGGCGTATCGGGTTTGCGGAGGAAAGGCTCCGCCGCTGCTCTAACGCTAATCTATCTATGTATTATCTCCTCCGCGTCCTGTTTTCAGAAAAAGAATTGGGGGAAAAAAAAAATAGTAGGAGCGTACTCTCGATTGAGGATGGTGGTGACGGTGGTGCTAGGGATGTGGGGATTTTTATGCGCAACTCGTTGTAGGGCAGTCTACGTAATTAACTTCCGCATGTACTAGCATCATCGCGCCGGGCGAGAGGCGTAAAACTTTTTCTTAATGAATTCGTATTATCTCAAAAATATACCATGAATTCGATTGTGATTATAATGAGATGATATCTTAAATCTAACCAAACTATCTTTTATCTTACAAGGAAAGATAAGGTATTTTAGCATCTATTAATATATATTGTTTGTATGTGTTTTATTTCTTTTGCTACCGAATAAAATGCAACACACACAAACGCACACACACGTAGTGTGGTGGTACATTCACATCCACTCTCTAACAGATGAGAATGTGGTCCCACATTTGAATGGGTCGATGGGAATGAGCTACCTCACTACCAAGAACAAAAACTTTTGTTCGGTACCAAGTTCATCCATATTGCTCTGTATATATACGCACACACAAACAAAATACACACTAGGTTTTATGCACGTGCAATGCACTTGGTAAAATACCATGATTAAGTATTTTTAATTTATTTCCTTACTAAAATTTATTTCTAGGTTTCACTTTTATAGTATTGCTCAATTATGTTTCTAAACTTTAGCATTGTGATTATTTTTTTATATTTGTTTGAATGGATTACACTGGATTTAAATTTTCATGTTAACAATTGAATTGGCAGGAAATAAATATAATCCGAAACTAATTTGAATTTTCATGTTATTTGAATCGACATGAAACTAAGCTTGACTTGAGAAAGTATAGTGTCGCGAAAGTAAAAAATAGTTGAAAATAGCGCTATAAAAGCAAGACGAATACTTAAAGCCATAAGCTAAGATGGTTGATTAAAAGTGGGCTATAACGAAACTAAAGAGAATATGAAGTTGTTCCTAATCATTGACAGATTTCATAAAAAATTACAAACTAAAGATTAATGCTAACTCTAGTACACTTTTATATGATAAAAGCATCCGCATAAGCATATAAAATATTAAAAATAGTTTATGAAAAACCCTTCTAAAGATTTCTAATTTTATTCAAAAAAATTAACTATTATATGCAATATTCAAAAAAATAGGTCTTTTATTCCTTCTGTTTCTTTTTTTTATGAGTTGGGATCAATCATTTTCCACCTTTATATTTTTCTTGTGCAATAGAGTAGTGTCTTCATCGTCTACATCGATTGTGACATTAGGCTAGAGATGAATTTCTTGTGCTATTATCTTTCTTTAGGTTTGTTCATCTTTTGTCTTCTCGTCTTACATCACAAAGAATTTGCATGCATTTTCGATGTTCAACACAAACTTCTAGAAATATAAATTTTGATTATTTCTCTATTTTAATGAGAAAAAGGTTAATTTTGTATATGTATACTTCTTATGTTTCTAATTTATTACTTAATTAAGGTTTAGAGTTTTTTTCCTCTGTAATGAATTCTTCTGTGGTGCATCCAATAAGAGTATATGTGCGTAAAATAATATTACCTTTGCTCTGTTCATATCATTTTCCATGATAAATAACTATTTCTTATTGTCGATTTGCCTTAGATTATAATGTTAATTTTTATATGTTTGTTTCATGACGAAGAGATATTATTTAACCTTTGTTGGTTTTGGGTATGTAGAGCAAAATCTGGGAACAAAATCAACAGCTAGAGAAACCCCAATGATCAGTAGACCGAAGCAGAGCCATCAGTCGACCGATGACACTGTAAGAAACAGCTGAAAATCGCTCTGATAAGTCGACTGATGGGAGCTCATCAGCCGACCAATATTGTGCACGAAGCAGCTGAGAACCCCTTATCATTCGACCAATGAGGCATCATCAATCGACCGATATCAGGTTAAACGATTCCTGGCCTGTTTAGGAATCTATTTTGAGTTAGGGTTATATATATATCCTGAATGAATTTGTGAGCATTGTACACGAAAAAGAGAGGGTTTTGAGAACACTTTGATAGAGCGATCTCAGAGAGAGTGATAGCCATTTGCAAGCATTGTAATCTTCTTCACTAATCAAAAAAAATCTGGTGTGGCTCCTGAGGACGTATGCACGTTTGCCGAACCACGTTAAATTTGGTGTTCTCTCCTTTTATTTGTTCTTTCTTGCAAAGTTTTCATTTTGCTGTGATTTCTTGCTTGCTAATTGTTCGTCACAAGATCCAAAGGGCACGTTGCACGGAGGTTCTTTGACAGGTTGTCGATAGATTAACCCCAACAACCTTAGTACTATGTCATCAGCGATTCTATGAACATCTATCATTTTGACACACTTATTAACATTTGTACCCACCTTCTTGTTGCAAACTTTGCAAGCAGTTCAACTATATTGGAAATAGTAGTTATCTTTGCATTATATGTACAATAGCGCGTTTGTATATTGGTAAATAATTTTTAGGTATTATTGTGTGAACTTTAGAGTAGGTCTTGCAAGATCATACATGTTTCGAATGTTGTGATGAATGCATATATTAGTAACTTGAATTTGTGTTGTATTTTGTAAAGAGCCTTGATGGAGGTGATTTTGTCTTGGTAGCTTGTTTTGACTGCATATTAGAGTTAAAATATAATATATTTTCTTTATCATATTATATGGATGTTTGCTTGGTTAAGCCGGAGAAAGGTGAGGATGACGTCAAGTCATCCTGCCTCTTATGCCCTGGGCGATACATGTGCTACAATGAGGGGGAGAGGGTCGTGATCCCATAAGGGTGAGCTAACTCCAAAAACTTGTCCTTAGTTTGGATTGAAAGATCTATTCATATATAATAATAGAGATATATAGCAGGAATAGTTTAATGGTAAAAGTGTGATTCGTTCAATTAATAACTTAAATAGTTAAGGGGTATTTTGGTTTTTTTCATATTACGATAAAAATTATTTCTTAAAAAGGTTTAAAATCTGATAGTCCTATTACATGTTTATCTTTGATCGTGTCTTCAGGAGTTGATCCTTTGTTGGTAGCCATATGCCCAAATAAAGTTACATGCAGAGTCATGCCACTGTATAGGAAAAAGAAAAATGTCAATTTTAATTTTTTTTGTACTTGCGCTATTGTAAATAAGTATCACATGTATACATTTTGTCCATTATAGTGATTTCTCTCCTCTTATCTAGCTAGTTATATTTTACAACGTAGTTGATCAATGGCTTCACTTTAGAATCTATTGAAAGATTATTTGTATGTAATTTTATATTATATTTATGATTCCTTTAGTATTTGAAGAATAAAGTATGAAAATTTATAAATACTTACTAATTTTTTTATATTTTTATGGAGAATGCTTCTTTAATTGGGAAAAGGTTATTCAATATGTTCTTCAAAGAGAACATAGTTGGCACTTCTTTGATAGATATACCTTTTATCGTTGTCAATTCAAGTGGTTCATGAATATTTTCAATTTTGGATTTATTTGCTTTACTTCTCTATTTGAATTAAAAACAGTTTGATCCTATTAAAGGATATCTTTGAACTTTATGATAGTTTCTCCATACATAAATTCTTATTTTTTTACCCTATAAATATTATTAACATCAGAGATCAATGTTTATACGTTATGATTAATTAATGCTAAGCTATTATATTATAGTCTTTTATCATTTTTATATAATTTAGTATTCTATCAATTAATATTATTAGTAAAATTACATGTTGTTCCTTTAATTTATACAGTGATGTTAATTTTTTAATCTATCATATATTTTTAAATTTTTTATTTCTTAACTAGATAGTTTTAATCTATTATTATTACTATTTTTTACTAACATCATCTTAGACTTTTTTAGATACTGAAAAGGGATAGTAAACTTTAAATTGAAAGTTAAATTTATATATCTTAATAAAATAATATCAAATAATTACTCTTTTCTTTGATAAGTTTAGCATTTCTGGTGTTTTTTAAAATTATAAAGGTTTCTTTTGTAATTTTTGAAATTTTGATAGTGTATTTTGAAAATATTAAATTCTAAGTTTATTTTATGTATTGGTGGTAAGTTTTTAAATGTTAGGATATTTCCTTCAAGCTGAAATTTTGAGGGTGTTTATTGTAGTTATTAAGACTTTTTGGTTGTTTTTTTAAAAAATTCAAAATTATAGTAGTCTATTAATAATTTTTAGATTTGATGTGTGCATGTTATAAGTTTTAAAAGGTTGGGGCTTTTGCAATTTTTAATTTTTTAGATACTTTTTACAATTTTTTGTAACTTCAAGGGTTTTTTTACAAGTTTTAAACTTTCATTTGGTTGATGGTAATCCCTTGAAATCATATATATTGTTTGCAAGTTTTGAAATTTTAAAATTTTAGAGTACTTTATGTTGGACCCTAGAGGGGGGGTGATTAGGGTCTTATGCTAATCTAATCCGACTTTATGCTAATTAAAATTAATTAACAAGTTATCCTAGCAAGTATGAAATACAACATGATATGTGAACTAGGATAAGCAATATGAACAATGAAATATATCCTAGCAAAGAGATATACTATGAGATATATATGCAAGGATATGAAATTAACACAAGGGTAATATGAGATATATATGCAAGGATATGAAATTAACACAAGGGTAAACAAAATGAAACAAGATAGTGGATGATATAAACAATGAGACAATGACAAAATGAGCAATGAGCACAAATAAGAATAATCGCCATAGCACACTCAAACACAATCAAATGATCACGGAGTTCGGACCTTCCGTCCTACGTTTCCGCTCCCCACTCCCGGGGAGAAATCCACTATCACGACCGGGTTTT